ATACCAAAAGTGCCCAAACGCCCGTTCCCAATTTCTGTTTCGCAACCAGTGAACCTACGTGGGCAAACAAATCGAGTTCCCACTCATCCGACTCCGTACATCCAACCCCTGTTACGCAGATCCCCTCCAAAACGGGCCCCGATTCCGCGGTGCAGCTTTGGACTTGTTCTTCCCCCTGCTGCCGCCGCCGCCGTCCTGGACGGGATGACTCTTCTCCCACGCCTCGTCGTCGGCGTACGCCTCCATGGCGGCGGCGAGGTCGTAGCCGACCTGCTCGAGGTACAGCACGGCGACGTCGTAGTCGGAGACTTTGCAGCCCGTCATGAAGCGGCGGATGCGGCTCTTGCGCAGCTCCTCTTCCTCGCCCTCGACGGGTCGCGGGGAGAGGCTGACGCCGGCGGCGTAGTAGGCGCCCGGGACGAGGACGGTGCGGCGGCCGTGGAGGAGATGGTCGCTGGTGATGTTGTTGCTGCGGCGGAGGACGGCGGCGGGGACGCCGTAGCGGAGCGAGAGGGAGGCGATTGTGTCCGTGTCGTGGTTTAGGAAGTGGAGGGTGTCTTCGGGGGGCGTGGCGGTTGAGGAGGAGGAGCCGCTGCTCTTTTCGTTGAGTTCTTCGTCGACTCCGGCGTCGGGTGAGGTGTATGTGTAGGGCGGGGGCGGGGCCGCCGGGGCGCCGGAGGAGAGGTGGTGGGTTGGCGGGACAGAGGTGTACGACGGCGGGTCTTTGAGGTTCGGAGGCAGCACTGAGGGCGCTGTGGATGTCTGGCAGTATGGGCAGTAGGATGCGAAGCGGGTGTTTTCCTGTATTACTGGTCAGCGTTCTGTTTCCAGTGGCGGGATTTGTGATATGAGCATTTGTCCGGCGGACGCACATGGATACAGTTCCCGCAGATTACACGAGCGCAGCACTCGAGTCGCCTATCGTCCGGGAGAGGCTTCTCGGTGACAGCGCTGTACCTCGGCACGGAGCTGAGCAGCTTCGCGCAGGTGCAGCAAGCTTCGTCGGATGGATTTATGGTTGCGTCGGTGACCTTCATGATTATTGAAGATGGACGACGGGGGTTTACGAATATTTCGCTTCTTCGTCTGCCTTGAGTATTCCCAACAAGACGGTCAGGAAAGCCTGCATGACGCGTTTCCTGCGAATTCAAGGAGGTGTCGACGGGCCGGGAAGTTGCGTGAACCTTAGTCCGCGACGATGAGCCGTTGAACGGCCTGGTGTCACGGGCTCTCTCCCCCCCGCTGTCTTGCCACCCCCACTACTCCGCACCGCCACCGCGGCCGAGTCGGCCGGCGTTTCGACTGACGTCTTCCATCCGGTCGGGCATTTTTGCTAAGGTAGCCACTGATAAGCGAGCACAGAGTGATCGGATGGCTCGTACTTCGTGTAAGACGACGGTAACCCTTTCACGCTTGATCAATTCCCGAACTGATGATGGATGTGCCTGGACTACGAAATCGATTCTTTCAACGACACACTTCACTTGGTGCAATATGACCTCAGATAGAGGTGCGTATGAATATTCTGAGTCTACTTGACGCGCGGTGTTAAAAGGGGTTCAAAATTGGCGAAAGACCCCATGATGTAAAGTATCTTGAGTAGCTAGGCAATTGACGAAAACCTTGCAACGTGTTCCCCAAGCTGACAGCATTCCAAAGGAGGGGCTTGCGGGATTGCCTCATACTCTTGCTTTCCCATCGTTCCTGTGCATCGCCTTGCGTGACTTCGGCCGGCTGTCGATTGTGCTCATATCGAAACATCGGCAGCCAGCCAGCTCTCAATTCACACGTAGTCATTTCTCAGCGTGACCGAGACTTACTGAGAATATAGCATTTCGATGAAGCGTGGAAGATGATGCCTGAATGAGGAAAAGGAGAAGCATAGTGAAAAAAGAAAAGCGACCATCCATAGGGAATCGAGCAAAAGGTTAGGTTGAGTGAAGCTCGACGGTTTCTGAGTTAGTATATCGACTCCCCCAGGTACCCCTCGACCACGTTCCCCTTGTGCCTCTTATGACTGGAGACGAGATAAATTGACCGAAGTACCTCGATTCCTCCCTTCCTGAAGGCAGTGGCTGAATATAAGCTGGACGGTATACGTATACTGTACACGCGCTGAACCTGACACAAGAGGAACTGATCAGGTGCTTGCAATATGAAAACATCATCATTACCTGATACGTACCAGCGAATACACAATCTCTCGATGATTCAGAACATGACTAGGTGAACGTGATACAACCAATTGCGCTCACGTTTTGCTCCGGTTCATGAACTGTGAGAAGCCCCCCAATATCTCAGCTCACCGGGAGCTTGCCCCCTATCATGAGAATAACGAGCGACCCGCCTTCGCTCGAAACCGCTCATTTCGTCCAGCCCATTCTCTAGATCTAGAAGCGTATCAAACTCCCTCGCCGAAATCACTCTACAAGCCGTTGAGAAACCACGTCACAGTTACCAAGCCATACGCCTCCTTGGCCTGTCCCAAGCCAAGCCTCTATACGTACGTACGTACGTCTGAACCAACATGTCGAATCCCACACCCGGTCCAGACCCAAGGGCCCCTCGTCAACCAAGCCAACCGCCGTTCCGAAACCCCGTCACTGCCGCCCGGACCTCCCGGTCTCTCTTCCCCAGCGTTCCGGAATCCATTCCCCGTCTACCCTCCCTTTTGGCTCTCCATCTATACACTTATACCTCCCAAACAGGCATCTCTCTTACAAACATTGCATACGGAAAGAGCAACAAGATAAAATCACAATCTCACGCGGATACCTGGAACAAGCCCCCGTCTCTATAAAGTCAAGAAAAAGTCCTACTTACGTAATTCCCGGATGCCCTCGGTGGGAACAAACTGGGCCCTTCACGGGAAACCGAACCCAACCTCCTCTCTCTCTCTCCGCCCCCAAATGATCCATCTCCCGCAGTCACGGTGGACCAACAGCTCAGCTTCGAACGGGTTGTCATTAGGTCATGGAAACGTCCACATGCCCCTGGTCACAAAAAACAGGACGCACAAAAGCGTAACCCACTGCGGAGTATACGGAGTAGTAGCAGGGCAGCAACAAAAATTGCAATCACTCAAATCAAACGAAACGGGGGGGCGGCGGTGCCCCAGATTCTTTTCCCCGTCTTTTTAATATCAATCTCGCAAAGGTTCCAGACCGGGGGGTCAGCAGTCACACACGGCTATTCCCATGCGTACACCTTCCAATAGACCCGCCCTTGCAAGGTAAGGCAGACAGGCGGGCAGGTTCCATGTCAGCGAGTGCCGAACTCAAAGCAATCACTCATCCAAACAACCCCTCGTACCCTCGAGGTCACACAACATATGTTCTTACCAGCCCAGAATCTCGTATATGTCACTTCCAAATCGGCTCACCGAATCGAAATCCAAGGAAAACGCAAAGATTGTAGCTTTACCGCAAGGAAAACATAAGTCCCAAAAGCCTTGGAGATGGGGGGGGGGGGGGAGTTCACATGTTTTCAAACCCTCTTACAATCTATGACCAAGAGGAATAAATCCAGGAACACGCAGCTCGGACCAAGGAATACACCCCCCGGCCTCTCCCTCCCCTCATCCGGGCTCATCCCCTTTCGATCCGAGTGAGAGCTCATCGTGACTCGTAATGCTGAAGGAAACGACACACACCCAGAAAAACTTTGGTAAACCTGAAGCTCCCCAATCCCCAGGCTTTCTCGATACGCACATATCCCGTATGGTAACACCACGTGTCTTCATTCTCGAACCCACCAGGATAGAAGGCCCTTGGCCATTACCTAAACTCCCAATAACGACGTCACATGAATGCAACTCACACTGCATCCTTTGGTTCCAGATACCGAGAGACAGAGAGAAGACACCAATCGAAATACAGAAATGAAATCTGTAACAGTGAACACGCAATCCTCGCCAGCTTGCTCGTAATAATGACGCCTTTTACATAAAATAAGGTGTGTAAAGATATTCACAGTGAAGAGAAAAGTACACAAAAAAAGCTTGAGCAAAAATAAACGTCCCGATCAGCCGTCGGGTTTCATTCAGCTAGTCACTTCAACTCAATTCAAGCCAACAAAGTCTCTCATGTACGGAACCCAGTCCGAAACCCGTTCGCCCCGTCTTGTCCCAGACGCGCGGCAGCCACAAGTGGGCGCGGGTTTGTCCATTTCCCTCCCAGATGCCTCCGTGTTCCCGCACTTTCCGCCGTCGGCCGATCTGGACCCCACGGCCGGGAGGGCCTGTAGCAACGACATACCATCAGTCCCAAAACCATAGACACCTTGCAAATGATGAGTGACGCTGACTTCACAGAGAAGATTTCAACCAATATCCATTTCACCCAAGAGTTGAAGCCTCTGTTTTTTTTTTTTTTTTGAAATCCGAAATAGAAAAACTTTTTTTGGTTCCGCCTGTATCCTATACACCATCAAATATGCGATGTGTGAATGATGAAAAATAAACGCCATTAAAAACAAGCGCGGGGTTCCATTGCGGAAAGCTTCCCGGCATATAAAAACATGAAAATAAGAGACAAGTACTGCAGGCCGCCAAACCTCCCGTGGGGTATTTCCGCCGCCCAGTTTTGACTGTCCAAGTTTCGAAAGAGACAAAATGATTTGTTGGTAACTTTTTTATGTCGTGATCGCATTTCCCCGTAGATGACCGCACGGCGCGGGTATTGAAAGCCATCTTGATAATTTTTGTTTCCCCTCGCTGGTGTTTGTTGTAGTTAAGGACGCCGCTACAGGCTTCGCCCAGAAAACAATCTCGCCGTCCGAATGCTGATGTCGTGTCGTCTCGGGTATCGAGTTGTCTTCGCTCCTCGCAAACCTCCCATGTTCACATGATTAAACTTCTTTTTTTTCTTTTTGAACCAAAGACAGCGACCATGTAGGCCTTGATAAAACAAATTTGGACAGATCCTCCTCTTTGATCACAACGATCCCGGTCCACGTGCAGGTGTCGAGGATTTCGACTCTATCACCGTGGGGGCGCAGGGTTACCGCATGTTGCTGGTATCGAAAGAGAATTGTGATGGGAAGGCCATGCTGGCGCTCAGTCCAAAGGGATCCCAATCAATGCCGGTATCCAAGAGCTGGGTCATGGAGGGATATGCACCCTGGGTCGTGTGGGTAGGTTGTGCTGGCTCGGCCTGAGACGTCATGTGCTGGCCGTGGCCGGGACCAACGGAGTTTGGCGAAGTCATCATATGCTGCGGTGCGTCGCCAGAGAAGCCGCTGGGATATGGCCCAGGCCCGCTTGGGGTGTCGATCTCGGAGTCTTCAATCATGTCCGCTGGAGCATCATACTCTTGTTCTAAGCTTGGTGTTAGGAATAAGACGGCAAGATTCATCAGTAAATGGCGCCGGTTGACTTACCTAGCTGCTCAATGTGGTTCTGGAACCCAGGTGTTGGGTAGTATGAACCGTTATTGCCGACGCGAGGAGGGCCTCCGGACATCATGTGAGCTCGAGCGGCCGGGTTCATGGGGCCCATGGGGCTGAGTTGAGACTTCATGGACGGTGCCATGCCAGGACGAAGCGGTCCGTGGTCAGAGGCTGCCGGTGAAAGAGCCTGCTGGCCTCCATACGGTGCCGTGCTTGATGGCGAGTTGGAGTGTGATGAAGGGGTGGGCCGGCCCTTTGGTGAAGCAGCAGAGTGGGCTGCTTGTATCGGCGGGGGCAGAGGGCTGATGCCGGGCTCCAGCTTCGGGGCGATGCTCGAATTGGATCGGCGAGACTGGTGATGTCGGTTCAGGATGGCTCGCTGGATAGGCGGTGGCTGAACCATATTTTGAGGAGCATGAGTCGGCCCCAAGTTGGGGCTGCCAGTTTTGGCACGAAGCTCAGCTTGAACATCGATGCCTAATGTACTGTTAATACTCGAGCATTCTCGACCAATTGACGGCGTGTCAACGTACCTTTCTCCAAGAGGATGCGTTCCAACAAGGAGTTTTTGTAGCGCAGCATCAGACACTCATCGGCAGCAGTGCGATGAGCGGCCTGAAGGTTGTGCAGGTTGGACTCATGAACACGAATGGCTTCCTCGAGCTGTTTGATGTACTCTGTGCGACGCTCGCGGAAGGCAGCTTGAGCCTGGCGGTTGCGTTGCTTACGCTCCTCGGAGGTGGCGTAGATCTTGGGGTAAACAATTAGCCTTCCTCTTGAGTGGGAGTTGAGATAGGACCAAACAAGGTTTCGTCCCAGGTGAAACCTAAAGATTGTGTGACACAGACGAAAGTCTGGGGAAGTTATGGTGTTGACAGAGAACAACAAACACACGCAAAAGGTCGCACACTTGAGTAAAGGTGTTGATGCTGAGATAGGCAATGAGGGAGTAAAGAGATACTCACAGGCTTACGGCCACCCTTTCGCTTTGGTTGCTGGCCCTCAGCAGCACCATTGGGATTGTTTGAAGTGCCATTAGGCGCAGGCTGATGTTCGCCCTCGGGACTAGAACCCACGGTCTCTGGAGTATCCTCCTTGACGGGATCTTTGTTGTCGATGGACATCTTATCTGCCATGCCTTATCTGGTCCGGGGGTTGAGGCAGGTTGCCGGTCGGCGTTGGCGGCAGCGGCAGCGTGAGCGGCAGCGGCAACGCAAGCACGGGAGGATCTGTATCTGGATCTGGATCTGTAGATAGGACGCCGTTGTGACGTCGCGTGTTCCACACTCCCAGCCCTACGATGTTCTGGAAGTGTTCGTTGTATGGGTGTTTGGCACTTCTCGCGCGTGGTTGCGGGCGCAAAAGAGATGACAAGCAGGGACGGGGTCGTAAAAAATTGCCCGAAAAAGGGATATCCGGGGGAGAAGTTGCCAGTGGCGCCTACGAGCGCCCGCACGAGAATTGGGGCGAAACCGCCAGCGTGGTAGAGGGACTTGGAAAGGGTGGGAGAATCTAAACAGCCGCGAGATAAGGTACGGAGCGGTGCGCTGCTGAGACTGTGACTGGGGGGAAAGGCATCCAAGCGGGCGCAATTGAGCTTCAGTTGAATCTTTGACAGCTTGTTTTTGCCAGCCCAGAGATAAGGGACGCAGCGATGAGAGGTTGCAGTGTGTAAGGAAATGGAAGAGAGCGGCGGTCTTTTATGTAATGATAATAAACTGGCAGCTTGAGGGGGGGCGCACTCCAGCCATTCGCCTAGACCCAGACTTTGCGGCTTGCCAGACACCACCGAGCAGGGCCGCCGGCGTGGGAGTGGGCGTGCAGCGACGAGCGGAGAGGGGTGAGGGATGAGGGATGGATGGGATGGGATGGGTGACTGGTGACTGTGAGAAGGGACGGTGGGGATGGAGGGGATTCAAGGAGGAGGAGGAGGGGGGTGTGGTGAGTACGGATACGTGTGAGTGTCCCTCTTGAGAGGAGAGATCAGGAGAAGACTTCCGACTGTGAGAGAGAGGGAACGAGGGGGTGTGTGGGGAACAGGCTGTAGGCCAAGCTTGACCGGGTCGTTGTTCCTGTTAAAAAGGACGGGATGTTCTGCTTCACAACGTCCACACAACTTGACAGGATGGGACCTGCTTGTCTCTTCTCTTTTCCTTGCGGTTTGTGTGTCTTGGTTCTCTCCCACGGTCTTCCCCACGTTTTGGTGCAGATGCTGTGCAGACACACAGACAACCGGATGTTCAATTCGTATGGGTGAGAGGGTCAGGTCAGGCCTCTTTCTCTCACCTAGGATCTCTGTCACTGGTTGTCTCGATCTTTCTAGACCAAGCACACACACACACACACACCACACACAGTTATGAGAGCTGAGTGGCTGGTTGAGTTGGATTGGTGGTGGCTGCTCCGACAACGTGAGAGGGCGAAACTGAGAGAGAAAAGAGGATCGGGTGAGCAGCAGCAGACGACGAACGATGAAGGGTGTGTGGTGGCAGAATCTGTTGCCTCTTTCTCTCTTTTGACGATCCAAACGCAGCTGGGGCCGCCAATATGTTGTGGCACCTTTGACGACGAACAGCCAGCAAGCACGAGACGACGATGCTCGTAGGATGGATGGATGAGAGGGTCAACGGGACGATATGTCGCTCCAATGGTGAAGGTAACCCAACAAGGAAAAGGGGAAACAGGAAGGACAACTCGGGCCTGGTGCTGGTGCTGGTGGATGGATTGCTGCAAAAAGCCTCCCACCCGATGCTTCGCTTCCCGAGCTCAGCTCCAACGACGATGCAGTTCGCTGGGCAAGTTGCGTGGATGCTGCGCCAGCTCAGTCAAACCCCGCTTCTCACACTCGCGGGAGAGGGAAGGGGGACGTGGAAGGTAAGAGGGGTCGTAAAGGTAGGCGTGCGTCTCTTCCCTCTGGGTTCCGGCTCTGGGCGTGATGATGGCTTGCTGCGCGATGTCGCTGTAGCGCTGTCTCGGCCTCCCGTCGTTCGTTTGGTTGTAGTCTGGTTGACGGCTCGTACGGATTTCAACGGCGTTTCGATGTGCCCTGCATCCCTTTTCTGGGTTCTCGCAGATCAGGCGTCCTATATTCAAGGACCAAAGGTCAAGTTCAATGATGTATGAAAACGTTTGGGACGGCCAGAAAAGCTTTTCAAAACCCTTTTCCACCAACAATCTGCGCACGAGGTGGGACTCTTCTTGGTTATATGGCATTGGAGAAGCTAGGACGGGCACGGAGTACTTGATTGGAAGTCACTTTTGCTGTCCAGCTGTTACTGCGTAGAATGCGCCCCCTCCAGAACCACACACACCCCTGGCCAAGTTTCCCAACTGGCATGTTTTTGTGGCACACAAGGCATTAACATGAGCATTCGTCCCGTGGAAAAAAGGTGGGAAGCTGGGCCAGAAACCAAGGCACTTGCCTCGTCCTGTAAAGTGGGCAATTATTGGTCCAGAACCTCCGTTCCATCCAAGGCCAACCAAGGCCAAATGTGTCAGCGACGACCACCGGTCTGAAGTCTCTGGGAGGAGTCTGTGAGCAGGAGCCTGCCTACTATGTACTTCGTAGTGTGTTCTCCATACACTAGGAGCCTTAGGAGGTGGCTGTTGAGCTGTTCATCGCGCCCTATGCGATATTGTGCCGGGCAGTCTCTTTCCTCTGACGGCTTGACCAGTGACCACCACCAAAAAGCTTGAGTTTCTCGACTCTCATCACGTTCCTGAAGTAATTCGAGGCCCCGTGCCGTCTGACCAGGGCCTGCCCGCACCATCTCTTGGCTCTTTTGGCTCCCATCTCCCTCTCACCCTCTCTTGAAGTCGAAGCTCAGGGAAGGGGTCATGTTGGGGAACCTTGCCCCCAATCACCGTCACGACACCCCCAAAAGAGGTTGTCCTCGTCGGATCGTTGCGGCAAGGTTCGAATACGGCACACTTTGCCAAGCCTAGACATGCAACGCAACACCTGCTCTGGGGAAACTAATTGCTGACTCGGAGACGTGAAGTTTGCGGTTGCATTCGTGACAGACATGGACAATAGCCGTAGGTTGATGCGCTTGTGCGAACCTGATATCATACCAAAGGTCAACCAAGTCCATCCAGTAAACCGGAATCGAGGATCCATCCGCGCGTGTAAGAAAGGGGACGGCAGTAGATACGGATACTCTGTACGGCTCCTCAAGATGCATCATTGATGCAAGATGCAATTGCCCGCCGTTGGGCCTATCTGCCCAGGTCCACCGTTCAAGGCTGGCGGATTGCGATGGTCGCAGATGAACCCAAACAGTGATGCAATGTTAAACTTCCATCACGACCAATCTCCCACACTCCGATTCGGAGATGCTCCACAGGCATTTCCCTGAGTAGCCAAAAATTCGTCAACAGGGCCACCGCAAGACCCAAGTGACACAGACTGGTTCTGTCATTGAACCACGGTTGAGGCATCATCACCACGAACGACCATCCTTGGCGCAAAGGGAAAAGAGGTCATTTCACCCAGCCCTTCCAGACGCAGAACGTCCCAGGCCCAGGCGTGCCCTCGCGGCAGGCCGGCGTCGCTGGCGACTGGTCGCGCTCGCTGGGCTTGGGGTCATCAGACGAAGCTGGGGCCGGGCTTTGAACAGGAGCGGAGCCACGTTCACAATCGATCAAATTTTCAGATCACCTGAGCTCTAGCCAGGCATCCGGGCGGCGGAGAGCTCCAACCTCAGACCTGGTTGCTGTCCAGTCCAGTTGCGCGGCACTCTCACACACACCAAAAACCAATGCCCCTCCACCAATGTGGCATTTTGGAGGTACCTGCGCAAGATGTACCTCTGGCTGGCGAAACGTTAGAAACGTTTCGATGGCCGTCAACAAAACAAAGAGTGCGGGTGTGGTGGTGCCTGTCGGTCTCTGCGAAAAAAGCTGCGTAGATATTTCCGAGTTGTGTCCTCCAGTCGGAATGAGGCTGAGATGCGTTATTTGGGAATCGGAGCCCCCATGAACTTGAAGATAAGAAGCATCAAAAACCTATCCTTACCCCAGCTAATGATCGCCAGTTGGGGGGCTTCGACAAGGCAGAATGAGCATTTGCTAGACTGGCATCCTCCCCCCCCCCCCCAACGGTCTGAAGGCTGAAGGCTGAAGCATCTGGTGGACAGTCTAAAAGCATTGGCATCACATCCAGGCTTCGAGCACGGCGGTACCGATGCAATGATCAGCGACGGGCAGCATTGGGAAGTGCCGTAGGTTGTAACAGCCCTGAAAGCGTTTTGCAGGCTTGTAGGCTTGCAGCACAGATTGACACGAATTGGCAGCCCCCAAAAGGCCTAGCGACACTTAGACGGTATCCCTGCGAGACTGCGCGGTAAGGCAACGTTAGCGACCACACTAATGGATGCCTGCCTCAGATCCTTGAGAATGCAGAATTTGCATCTCCGCGGAGCGCCCTCCAGTTGTGACGAAGGCCAAAGGTCGGACGCGGTTGAAGTTTGGTGTGGTGGTCTATCCTGGTGTGGGAAAGGTTTGGAAGAGAAAAAAGAATTGGCGGCCAATAATTGAACGATTTTGTTGCCCATTCAAGACAAAACGCACGCCTCTCATTGTTACGGCAGGACCCGAGCATTCGGGAGAGGGCAATGGCGGCGGCGTTTCGTCACACCTTCATTCATGCTGCAGCTGCGATGTTGAAATATTTTTCCAACCCTCCGTCATGCTTGGAGATGTTCTCCAAAACAACCCCCAACGTGATACACTCCAATTCTTTGGTTTGGGTTGGCGGCTGCGCCGACGTCGTCTGACTTTTCCGAGCATAGCCGCCAAAGTTCGTCTTTTCGCCAGAGATCGGGAGACCGCCCCCAGGAAGGAAGCCAAGACTTGTCGGTTGCAAACGAATTGTTGAGTTGGCAGTCGATCAGACCGTGCAAGTGCAGTACCTTGCGTCGTCCGTCGTCTATCGTCCGTCGTGTCGTCCGTGAACACGGTGGCCGGTCGAAGGTCAAGAGAGAAAGTCGCCAACCTCATTTGGTGGCTCCGTTCAGGTGACCGTCTGGACGAATTGGTCCTGGCGTCGGATCGGGGGTCCAGGTGGTCCGAGCCTCGGTACGTATCTGAAAAACTGAGCAGAATGAAGAGCGGGGACGCTCCCATGTTCTAGAAAAATTCTAGTCTTGAGACCAAACCGGGCAAGTTGCCAAGTCCTCTTAGCCTCCGAATTCCGGACCATTTCCGCGCAGCGCGGTCCTGCCATCGTTCGCCGCGGCATCCGAACATCGGAAAGCCAATGGTCTGACACAAAAGCCAAAAGGACCTTCCACCGCGTCGCATTCAGTCGCACTCTTCCATTCTCCCACGTTCCCTTCCCTCCTTTCTTCCAGGTTTCCTGCAACGTAACTCATCCCATCCCGTACTTGGTACGCGAAGCCCTAGGGCGGGGCGCTCCCCTCTGTGCCAGTGCCAGAGCCAGTGCCTCTCTTCCGTGAGGTGGTGGACCGCGCTGGTGGAGAATTTGAAGACGGGGAGGGGATTCCTTCAGACGCAAGTCTTGTCGTTTCATTGCCTCTTTGGGCCAAGCTCGTCGAGGTGTGTGGGAGGGGGTAGCTGGCCGCCGGCCACTGCTGCTCATGTCAGCACCTGGCACGCCGCACGTAGTGTAGTACTCCAACGGTCATCGCAAACACCATGTGCAGCAGTCAATAGTCTAGACTGCAGCGCGGTTACGTCGGTCAGTCAGGTGACGAGGTTGACGAGGATCGCAAAGCCCCCAGGTACCAACACAGATACCCGTCAAGGTTCGCGAGATCGTCATCTCTCGGGGCGCTGCGGAGGGGGTTCCGGGGAGGGCATGAATACCTGCAGGCTGCAGTACGCAGTAATTAGACATTTGGCATTCCATGGGAACCTTTGTCACGTCGCGATGCTTGGCTTGATGCCTCACAAATAAGCGTTCGGACTACATCCGTCGTTTTGCCAAGAAGTGTCGATGCCGCCGCGTCCGATGTTCATAATCTTCAGGCAACACACTCCAGTGACACCACCTCAATGTGAAACCTGGTCCGTACCGTGGGACGAAGAGAGATGGTTCGGGAAATCTGCTCAAATCCCTTTCGTTTCTTCGGGCCAGGGTCGTTGTGTTTAGCTCTGTTCGTGATAAGTTTAATGCTGAGCGAGACAGAAGTCAAATCGCTGTTTCGAGCAAAGAGAAAGTGAGTTAGTTAGTCGGTGGCATGTCGGGCAATTCTTGAACGTCTTTTGAGTAAACTAGGCAAAGTCAACTCTCTCCCAACTTAAGGGTCGGCGCATTGGCGGCTCAATGCCAACCATGGGTTTTCTCTATGTGAACCCTGTCTTCCGACTGCAGGTAGCAATTCTCAATTGAGTTAAACATGGAAACTTGCAACAGGTTCGGCTTTACGCTCGAGTCACCACGATGTTAATTGCCATCAGACTGGTCCGGAAACCAAGCAGTTCAGAGCCGTTTGAGGATCACAGAAAAGAACCGCCCTGTCAATGCACATTCCACCAACCCCAGACACGCCGCTAGTCATCCTAGTAACGGAACGACCAATCACAGACATAGTTCTGCCTCTATATACTAACTGTTGGCCTCAGAAAAACAATCCGGCATGGTGTAGCGGTTAGCATACTCCGCTTTCAATCAATCAAATGATTTAAAGTCCCGGAGAGATCCGAGTTCGACTCTCGGTGTCGGAACACTCAATCTTTTGATGTTCTCTCGAAGTTTGCTTTTTGATGGTAGTTGGTTTGCATACATGTTTTTGGGACCGGCTTGGCCCAGAGCGACTCTGGGAGCATGAGATAGAGTTTAAGTTTGGTGCCGCGTCTCTTGACTCTTGACTTACACGCCTGTTACACGACTTGATCTGGGTGACATTGGGGAGACTCTTTGCTACTTGAAGTAGAGACATGCATTCGCATGTGAGCACAATAAGGCTGATATCTTGCTATGTTGTTTGAGCGACTCTGATGTAGCGAGAAAAGTTTGGGAGTTGCCGGCTTGCAGACTTGCCATGAGAAGTGGCTTTTGACTTTGGCCTAGGAAGAGTATTTCAACTGGGGGTTCCTGTCTCTTTGGTCCGACTGCGTTCAACATTGAGAGTGCCGACCGTCTCAGGTTCCTGCTAGAG